CTTAATAGAAGAAGAATAACATAACCTACAAATTTTTTGAGGCAAATAAATGAATAAAAATTAATTGATAATAAAGTAAGTGATTTGTGATACAGTGTTACCAGACTTACATACACTTTCTAAGAAAAAATAAGTATGAATTTTTGAAAATAAAGATTTTAAAAATGGTCAAGACTTTCATTATATACACTTATTCTTTAATGTTCAATATTAATGAAACATCCTGTATTAGGGTCTCTAGTATATACCTAGCATATGCTATATTTAAATACTTAGCATATACTTAGAACGTACTATCAAATGAAAGTAGATACTTATTGCATACTGTACACATACTTGAAGTACATTCTCAGTATCTGCATAAGCATAACACGTATAAACAACATCACGTAACATATTCTGAGAATGTAATAAATGCGAATAAAGTATATTCTCAGCATATGCGTATTCTTAAAAAGTATATACTAAGAATATGCTAAGAATGAAGAATGTATAATTGTTATCTGGGTATACTGTCAAAGAATGGTTTTTTCTTCAGCTCCGCACAGATGATCGGAACATGTCTGCGATTTTCAGATTATTTCAGTTACCCTTATAATGTTCGCAGTTTTAGACCCATCTGTCCATATAACATAAATGTCCTATGAATATACTAAGAATGTTTTGATTATGTTCGTTACGGCATATACCTTTTAATCTTTTTAGAATGTTATTAAATTATGCCTAGAATATACTTTGAAAGTATATTCATACTGAACACGTGCCTTAAGAGTATATTCTAAAAAGTATATAATGAGCACGTGCTTTAATAGAACATTCTTAGAAGATACTTATACCCAGCATGCATATCATATTCTAAAAATTCTGTCAATTCGCTAAAAAAACATTTAGATACAACCTTATTCTGAGTTAAGTTTATGTCATAAACAAAGTTTTATCATTGGTTGTACGCAGTGACGTAGCCACAGGGGAGGTTTTGGGAGTCATAACCCCCCATTGAGGGTCCTCGCATTACCATTTCCACTATAGTATTGGCGCTGATCGCTATTGACTGTTTTTATTCACTTTCTTGATGGAAACCCTTCCCATGAAAAATGGCTGGCTACGCCACTGGTTGTACGGGTGATTTCTTGATATTTACAGTTTTCCGACGTCATGTTGATACCTTCAAGTAAGTTTTTAACTGCTGCAAAAAGTGTAGTACATGAAAAAAAAACTATATTTTCAAGGATAAACAGTATTCTGAAAATGTGTAGACATATTTTTAGAATTTAAAATTAGATAGTAACAGGAAGATTTTTAAGTTTTGGGAATACAAACAAAATATATTAAAAGAAACAGTGTCCCCTTTTTCGTTCTCCGTAATGTTTTTAAAAAATATGTTAGAACGCATCGTTTGAAAATGTTCACAATAAAATTATTCGATCAAAGGCATTCAATTTTTAGACCGATCTATCTAAACACCTTGTGAAGGAATGCGCTAAAAAATGCGCCAATAGATTTCACATTTCCATCTTAAACCCCGATTTGTATCTGATCGCGGTATATCACCTCGATTTCTCAGAAGGAAAAAATATATTGGTGCAAATGGCCACCACGGATTTTATCGTTGTCGACCGCTCAAACGATTGGAATAAGGCTATAGATAGATGATGCTCTATCTCCCTATTCAGACTTGCTTTCTCAATTCCTGAATATATTGAAAAAGTCACTGAATGCTATTTTCCCTCAATAAAAAAATCTATTTTAATTGCGTCAGTATTTTAAATGTTGTCTAGTTTAATGTTAGGAAAATTGAAGCCATCTTACTAACTGTAGACTACATAAACAAACAATAATAACTGTGGTTTCAGAAAAGGACTACATGAAACAGTTAATTGCAATAGTGTCAAATTTTTAAACAAAATTTACCTAAAATGTCATAAGTTAACCGTGAATGAGGATCACAGGAGCAGTGTCTGTAAGGGTTGCAAGGCTACAGCCCCCCAGTAAAAAGGTAAACCAATTTATATAAATATAAAATGAAAATGTATTGTTACCTAATAATAACTTCAATACGGCTCATTTTGTTTCGATTGTTCCATTTATAATTTGGTAGTCCGTTCCTGGTATTCAATATATTTTCCGTTACTGGCGTTGCTAGCAGGGAAGGGCTGAAAGTCATGGAGCCTTCAATTCAGGTGTTCGAACGGTTAGATCGAGCGATGTTGGTCGTACTCGGAAGTTACAGATACGGAATTTTTACACGAAATATAGCTGCGACAATATCCGCCTTCGTTGCACGCTCCAGTCTAGATAGTGAGTCTGTTTATTATCTTAGCCAGTGTTGCCAATTTACCGATTTTCGATTTATTTTTTTTTCGATATTGGATCTCATCTACCGAATTTTATTTGTTCTTCTTTTATTTCTCTCACATATACTACTTTAAAATATAAATGCCTTTCAAAAGTAATCCCCCCGTTATCAAGGCTATGAGCCACCACTGCCTGCCCTTCTTTTTCAACAAATTGATAAAAAATGCTTACAAAACATAATGGGAACTGGTTAATAATTTATAATTAAGAATAAAAATTGAAAAAAATTAAAAAACCATATGTCAAAAAACAAAACAAAATAAAACAGTTATTAAATTTGCTAGTTTTTTTTTATACTTTTCACACAGTAGTGTTTATAGGTTTTTTGTCCGCCCAATAAGTTAAAAACGAAAAATGATATCAATTTGAAAATTTTAGAAAGCTCTATAAAAGGACCAAGCATATTGATTTTGAAATTTTTTTTAAAAATGGGGGAGATAAGGGGGTTGAAATTAAAATAAAAATCATAAATTAAAAACGAAAAACGATTGATTTTTTTTGATTTTGAAAAAAAAGTTCTATAACAGATGAAGCCTATACTGATTCTAAAAATTCTGAATAAATTAGGGTATTAAGGGGAGGTTAAAATAGGAAAAAAAAATTAATTCAAAAGCGAAAAATGATATCAACTTGAAATTTTTCACAAACATCTCCTTTAAAGAAAGGACGAAACCTATTAATTTTGAAAAAATAAATCTGATTAAAAATGGTGGTTAAGGGGTTGAAATTAAAATGAAAATTAAAAATAGGGGTTAGGGGGGTTAAAACATTTTAAAATATCCTAAATCAAAAAAGGAACAATAACATCAAATTGAAATATTTGGCAAAAATCAAGCTTTATAAGGACTATTGATTTTAAAAAATTCTGAATAAAATGGGGATTAAGGGGGATTAAGGGGGGTTAAAATAAAAAAAAATAGAAATAAAAAACCAGGAGCGATATCAACATGAAATGTATAGTAAAAATCAACTTCTATAAGGGAGTGAATAAATAAATAAATAAATAAATAAAAATGGGGTTAAAATATTAAAAAAAATCTCAGAAACAAAAAAACGATATCAAATTGAAATCTTCAGGAAAAATTAATCATTATAAGGTACCTAAAGCCTATTGATTTTGAAAAAAAACTTGATTGAAAATGGGGGTAAAGGGGACAAGGGCGGCTTCTAGACGAATTTTCGGGGGGCCATAGCCTTTAGCCATTCCCTTTTTTGCATATTTTTTTGAATAAAAGGCCCATAAATCTTAAGAATTTTTATCTCGGGGGAGGCCATACCTATAAATACCTAGGTGTGTATCATAATTTTGAATGACTGTATTATACAGGGTATCCCGAAAACGAAAATATTATCATAAATTATACTACATATTCTGGGGTCAAATAAAATAGGTAGGTACCTATGTCGATTAAACTTTACTTAAGTTAAAAATTTAAATTAATTTTTTTAACGTCCACCCCCAAATAAAAATAATAACGTTGAATTCATTTTTGTGCATTATTTAAATATGAAAATGAATTATAACAAGTCAGATATACAGGGTGTTGCTTTTCAGAGTGGAAGAATTTGTGAATTTTTAACTAATCCAGACCTGTGACTTTTTTTACTTTTTTATAATTGGTATATTTGAAAAGATATAGATGACAAGTGTACCAAACCTCATAAAAATCTACGGGGTTGTTCGAAAGTTATAAATAAGGAAAGAAATAGATAAAATTAATAAAACACCCTGTATCTCGGTTACAAACAATCGAAGAACCAATAAACAAAACAATTTAGAATCCGTTTTTCAATAAATCACCCTGTATACGTTTTCCCGCCAAGAATTGCTCGAGTTTCTGATAATCGGTATTTGTATCTACCTACCTACTTTTAATTTTTGTAATTCATTTTAATTTACCTAGTTAAATATGTATGGCAGATGATGGTTTTTTACACAGGGGATTGAGGAATTAGTTATAGGTTACATGTTACTGTTATTTTCCTATATTTGAGTGAATTTCTGTAATAGAAGCGAAATGAACGGAATTTCTTTGAAATAGGGATCATCCTGTATGATAAAATTTGCGAACGTAAAAGTCGCATCGACGCCCTGTAGAAACAATTTTATAGCGATTTCCACATGAACAAAAATATGAATAATTTTCCGTTTGACGATAAACGGTAGTAGAAATCCGGAGAGAAACAAACTGAATGCTAAGGTAAGCAGTTAACTAGTCAAAGCTTTCTTCCACCGACAACATGTTTATGTTAGTAAAATACCTCCTTACAGATTGAGTTCTATGTATATTGCGATAATACGGCGCGGCGTCCGGGGTAGGGCGGACTCGAGCCCGACAGCGGGCGTAGCCCGAAATTGAGAAACGCGCCAATAGCGCGCGGCTTCCCATCGAAATGTTCCTCCTTCCCGCCAATGAAAAAAGCATTAATCTCTTTTAAAAATAGAGCAGAGAGCAACCACGCAGCCCGGCGACACGCACCGAATCGCTAACTGCCATACAGGCCCCTGTAATGAGCTTACCAGTAGCACATATTTAACATGTAGTTCAGTTTATAGACATCCCCACTAGCTATCACCTTTCTCCTGGCCACCGCCCACTAAGCTCACCTCACCGAACACAGTCTCTTTTAGTCAGTCCAGTTCATTGTCAATCCGATAGTGACCAATACACGGAACTATTTACTTTGTTTCAGTCAAGAGTACGGGGCGTTTGACTCGTTTAGGACACGTAGTGTATGTGATGTGCTGTGAGGGCCACGTGTAACGTGAAAAAAAAATTCGCAATCGCCAAGAGACACTATTCGACGCGGCTTGCTCGCGTCTTCAGGTTGCAACCACGGCGTCTCCAGTAGCAATGACGCAACACCACAGCGACGCGTCCAGCGATCGGTCCGAAGTATCAGTAACTCCACCACCCCCAGTTTCCAAAATGTTAGAATTCGCCAGTCACCAAAATCTTAGTTTTCTTAACCTGGAGCACCGAAACATGTTGGCGGCTCCTTTGGCAGCTCTTCATTCGATGACGGAAATGAAACATCACCAAACTCATCTCAATTCGGAGCACATGCATGTCCAAGAGAAGAACGATACCGACGTCTTGCTAGAACGTACAAGTTTACACGTAGAACGGTCAGGCTTGACGTCGAGGAGTCCATTAGGGGCCACCAGTAATAGTAATAGCTCGCAGGGTGCTAATCCTCATGGTATAGACCATATTTTATCCAGGCCTACTCAGATCACAACTGGTCCGCTACATTTCTCGCACAATCTCGGTTTTACGCAAAATTCTTTGGGTATGGCATCTAACAGCGCTCAAAGTGCTTCAAATTCTGGACTGCGAGGATTTAACATTGCCGCCGCTGCCTTTTTCCACCATCATGCCGCCAATTCTGTCAATAAACCTCCTGTGGAACTTGGAAGAGGTACTGGTGGCCTCTACTGGCCTGGCATACAAGGACTCAACCCCATCAGTTGGAGGGATCGCCTCAGTAGCAGTAAGTACAAATTTATTTATATTTACACAAATATCATCATAACTTGTAATTTAATTTATTAGGCACAAGTATCTATACAATTTTATTATATTTTAAAATTAATGATAAAATTGTCTTTTGTTTGTTTGTTTGTTTGTAAACATATTTCAAAAAGTGGTCTGATCTAAGAAATGTCTTGGTATATTTGTTCACCTTAAAAAATTGGTGAATGTGATCATTATTCGAATCACAATACATTTTTTTATTTTGTTCTGCCTGTCCCATAGATTTTATTATATTTCATCTTCTCTCATTGCCGTTATAATTTTTCTAGATACAAATTTTGAATAAACAATTTTTAGATAATAAATTTTTCAATAATATTTTTATTTAATTATAATTTTACTCAGGTAGTCAATAAAATTGTCCAATAAAAATTTCAAGAGGTGCAAATTCCTTAAGTATATAATGAAAATAAGATTACTTTAATTAAAAATGGTGATAACTGTACCTACGAAAATAATTGATTTCTGTTAAGAATTTAATTTTAATTTCATTGTAAAATCTTAAAAAAGACGTAAACCGTGAAACAATAGATTGATATTAAATCAGTATTAAAGGAATAAAAATGTATAGTTAAGTTTTCATTGCTATTTTTTCATAGCGATAACAAAATATTTGATTAATTGAAAGTCATTTGCCTACTTGAATTACATTAAAATACTTTAACGAGCTTCAAAATAATTTTTTATAACGAAGTTTTAAGAAATATTCTGACCACATTAAAAGTACCTAATGTCATTCTATTTGTTCTATTTTGCTTTTTAAAACTATAGTTACTTTTCCTTTAATTTTGTTTTTTTTTAAATATATCTAACTAAAACTAATAACAAAAAATATAAAACCAATAAAAATTGCAGCCCCCAAAAGGTTTGCGCCCCGAGACTATAGCCCATTTAGTCCTGTGGTTAGGGGTGCCCTGACCTACAATGATTTGTTGTATTTTAAATGCAAATATTGTTTATGATCTAGAATATAGAACAACGTTAACTTAATGAATAGCTTGAAGAAATTTCTTCATTAAATGATTAATACGATTCATTTTTGTAAAAAACCTTTTAATTTGAGTTTCAAGTACCTAAACCTAATTATTAGTTATCCTTAAAAAAAAATGTCATGTAGAACACTTTGCAAATCAAGTTTAATGCCATTTTCAAGCTGAGAAAAAATATAGAAAAAAATTGAAAGAAAAAGTAATAAAAAGAAAATAAAATACAGAAAGAAAACAATGAAAAAAAGTTAAAAGTATTGGTAAAAAAATATAATAATAGAAAACAACAAATAATACCACTAACTTAAAACTATTTGTGGATTTGTTGTTTTCTGCATAAAAAAAACTAATGGTAGGATTCTGGGAAATATTCTATAAGCTAAAGAATCTGTAAGATATAGTAATGTAATTTTTTACAGATTGTGGCTGCTATAGATTGTCTCAGAATCGACCCATAAGTCTGGCTATAATTGCCAATGTCAATGCCATAAATTTTAAATAAAAAAAAGATGTTTCAGATAATTTTTCTCTTCCAGTTTCAAACCTTACTCGAATAATAGTAGTAGGAATTATTCTTTTCAAAAATCCTATTTGTTATGTCACTGTAGTATCAATTTATGTCCATCAACTTCGCACTACACTTTGGAATTTTGTATTTTGGAATATTACGTATTTGTCGCTTTCTGTCGTAAATTTGTCGTGGAAAAAAGTTTGTCCCCTTTTCAAAATAGCCCCTGGTAGTGCTAACTTCATAGTAAAGTTAGCACTACCAATCATCAAAATGAACATAAACTACATTTTTTTTATATGGGGAATTTGTCGTTTTTTGTCGCAAATATGTTGTTAGAAAAATTGTCGCTCATCCCCTTTTTGAAATAAACTCTAGGTATTACTAATTTTGATAGAAAGTTTCCCGAAAATGAGCATAAATTATATTTTTTATATTGATAATATGTCACTTTTTGTCGTAAATTTATTTTGTTGTCGAAAAAACAATTTTGTCGCTAATCCCCTTTTTGACATAGACCCCAGAGTTAATGCTAATTTTGATGAAAATTTAGCACTACCAATCAGAAAAATGAGCATAAATGACATTTTTTTATATGGATAATTTGTCGCTCTTTTGTTGTAAATTTTTTGAGGAAAAATTTTTTTTGTCACTCATTCTTTTTTTAAAATAAAACCTAATTAATGCTAATTTTGCAGGAATGTTAGAACTATCTACCAACCATAAGAATTTTTTTATATCGGTAATTTGTCGCTTTTCTTGTGAAAAGAATATGTCGCTCATCCTCAGTGGCCGATTGTTTCCACTGATCCCTCCATTTATCAGACAATTTAACTTTAATTCCCCTATTTCAAACTGCTCCTGAATTTCTACTAGGTAGGTATATATTCAATTTTATATAAAGAAAATTTAACTTTACATACTTATTATTAATGTTTATATTTAACACATGTCTGCTGTCATGCTGTCAATGTTAATGTTAATGTTTTTCCACTACATGCCATGGTATTTATTGTAACAACAATTTTTTGTAAGTTTTATTTTTTTTACCAACACATGTATATGTATTGTAGGCCTGACCTGAGGATGGTCATAATGGCCGAAACAATTCGCTTAACTTCTTAAAAATTTATCAATAATTTTTTTATTATTGATTTAAAATTTATATAAAAAAAGTTGTTCTGAAACATTCAAATATGCTATCTAAAGGACATAAGATATTGGATTTGGTCATTAAAAAAATTAAATAAATCCTCACCTTTTTCGCCATTAAATTGATAATCAAAAAAACGTTAATACAATGTTAAAATGGCTATTCTAGATTGGTGATTGTCATGTAATCATGTATTTGTTATTTTAGAAAAGGGACAAGCTACAAATTTCTTTTTTTGATGACAAATTTATAACGAAAAGCGACAAATTCTCCAATATTCAAAAATCCGTAATTCCAAATTGGCAGTGCTAATTTCACGAACGTTATCTTTTTTGGCTTTCGATATTATATAGTTTTAATATTTCTCATTTCTAAAAAATTGTACTATACTCCAAATACTAAATAATTGTCATAGAACCAAAAAAATCAATAAAAGTTGAATTTCAATTATATATAAATTATTTTTTTGAAAATTTTATTTATTTTAGTCTTTTACTTGTAGTTGATTTAATTTTGTTTACCTAATACCCATCATAATCATGTAGGTAATAATTATTATATTATTTAAGTTTTTTTGCTCTATTTAATAGAAATCAATTGAGAAATTGTCTCGCGGTCATCTTTAATGTTGTGTGGAGGGCGAGGGTTTATACATAAAGATTATTAATAATAATGCGTGCATGGAGAGATGGTGACTGTGACTAGCATGTTGATCATTTAACGTCCTCTCAGGATTTACCTATTTGACCATAATTCGAATCGTAAACAGGAATATCTGCACGTTTCCCATAACACTCCACAGAGCAAATTGTTGATTCTAGGTGTTTATTCTGTCACATCGTACAAACAGTACGAAGGTTGACTTAATATGTTTGTCTAAGTCCTGATAATAATCATTATATTGACACCTGACAAATTTTCTATCGAATTGAACCTGCTTTCTATCGAATTGCTTTTAATTAGGACACACTTTCAATTAATTATATTTTTTTATTTATAATTTTCATTTAAATACATTTTATTGACTGGTTGAAAATACCAATTAAATATACAAAATGTAACATACGACAAACGAAACTTTTAATTTTTACCACACCTAATAAATTTGTTGTAAAAAAAAAATTGTCGCTTACCCCCTTTTTAAAATAATCTTTAGTTATTGCTAATTTTAAAGGAAAGTTAGCACTACCAATCACGAAAATTGAGCATAAATATCATTTTCTTTATATGGAAAATTTGTCGCTTTTTTGTCCTAAAGTTGTGGAGAAAATATGTCAATCATCCCCTTTTTGAAATAAGCTCCAGTTAATGCTAATTTTGATGGAAAGTTAGCACTACCAATCACGAAAATTCAGCATAAATATAATTTTCTTTATATGGAAAATTTGTCGCTTTTTTGTCCTAAAGTTGTGGAGAAAATATGTCAATCATCCCCTTTTTGAAATAAGCTCCAGTTAATGCTAATTTTGATGGAAAGTTAGCACTACCAATCACGAAAATTGAGCATAAATATAATTTTCTTTATATGGAAAATTTGTCGCTTTTTTGTCATAAAGTTGTAATAAAAAAATATGTCAATCATCCCCTTTTTGAAATAAGCTCTAGTCAATGCTAATTTTGATGAAAAGGTAGCACCACCAATCACGAAAATGAGTATAAATACTTATTTTTTATGTGCTTTTTTGTTGTAAATTTGTTGTGGAATAAAATATTTTTATCACACATCCCCTTTTGAAATAAACCCTAGTCAATGCTAATTTTGCGGGAAAATTCGAATAATGCTCTTACAAGTTTGACAAGATTTTTCAATAATCATTTAAAATCAATAAAAAAATTAAATAAGAAATCATGACAAACTTTGAGAGCAAGATTCAAATTTTCAGACATTTTGAATTTTTATAAATTTTTTCACAAAATTGGCATTAACAGGGGTTTATTTTAAAAAGGGGATGAGTGACAATTTTTTGTACATTACAAATTTACGACAAAAAGGTGAGGAATTTTCTATAGGTATAAGAAATATAATTTATTCTCATTTTTGTGACTATAGCATTGACTAGGATTTATTTCAAAACGGGATAAGGACAAAAAAATTGTTCCCAAACAAATTTACAAGAAAGCGACAAATTATCCATATAGGTAACAAAAATGTCATAAATGCAGATTTTTGTGATTGGTAAAGCTTACTTTACCGTGAAGCAAGGGCGGCTCCATGCCCCCCCGCCCCCTCCCCCTAGATGAAAATTCTTACGATTTATGGGCCTTTTATTAAAAAAAATATGCCTCCCCGAAAATTCGCCTTTTTGGAACCGCCCTTGACGTGAAGTTAGAACTACCAGGGGCTATTTTGAAAAGGGGATGTGCGATAAATTTTATTTTTCCACAACAAATTTACGAGAAAAAAGCAACACATTTTCCAATATTCAAAAATTGAAAATTCTAAAGTGGTAGTGCTTACTTCACGGACGTCAAAATATTTTATAATTAAACGAATTAAACCTAGGACAACAGAGCAATGCGTACCGTTTGGCGATCTTGTCTAATATCTGTCATTTTAAATCTAACTCTAAGATCAACAATAACTAGACCTGAAATCATGATAGGTTTATAACAATAAGTAATATTGAAAAATTATTAAAATAATAAATAAAATACATTTTAAACATTTGTTCGTAAATACACTAAAACATAAATTTTCCACCACAATTTATTCCCATGATGATTTTTATTTCACAATTTATCAGTACAAGTAAAATAATTTTTATTATTTGTATATTTTTAAATACCGCCACCACTGAAAGAAATATGAGACTTTTAATGACATCTTGGTCATCCTGTGTAAAAAATTAAAAGGCATATCTATATAAAAATGTAAAAAATATATAGAAAATACTTGTATACTATGTAATTAAAAATCTTGTTGTTTTTTCGAAATAAGTATATATACCTAAGACATGATTAGTCTGCCATTGATCGCTATATTGTTTTTAATTTAAAACAAATACAGTATAGGCAAAATCAAACCTTCGTTCCCGTTTTACGTGTATAGAAGTTAATAGTAAATGCCATTCGCATGTGCATAAGAGGAAATGCCATTTACCGGTCGGTAGTCGCTACTGATCCATGACTCTACCTGTGAAATGCAACTCTGATACTGTGTCGTTTATTTTCATGCATATTATGCGACCGCCATTTTCTATTCACTCTAATACAAGCAAAATAAGATCGAAGGATTTATCTTGCCAGAACTGTATATTTGATATATATTTTTGTAGTGAAACAATCAGCAAAATTGTTATAATAGATATATTTTTTTTGTATTTATAGATAATCAGACAGTCTATTATTGTAAGTACATTTTATAAACATATACTAACTTTCGTTTTAAATGTTTTTTCGCCTTAATTAACTATTCTATAAGAAATTATTATTCATAAGATTAGTGGATATAGTTTAACGCATATGAGAATCAAAAAAATAAGAAATAATTTAATAAGTGCAATAAGTGACATATTTTTTAAAGTAAATAATAGAATTAATTAAAATAATTTATTATAAAAATAAAAAAAAATAACTAGGTAGAGTCCGATTACAATAAGAAGAACATCGCTACGTCATAACCATTATTTCGATATTCAAATATATATTATCTATAACTGTCATTGAATAAATAATGAGTAAGTTGTAAGGTATACAAAAATAATAATTCATTAGTTACGGTCTTATCCAATTACTAAGCCAAGTGATGACGTAGCTGTGTTCTTCTTATTGTAATCGGACCCTATAGGAGATGTTCTAATATTACGTAAATTTGACAAGTAAAAAGTTTTGAAAAAATAATTTGAGATAGGGGGTTCCAGATTTTCTCATTTTTAGATATTACAAGGGGGGCGATTAAAATCATTGAAAGATTGTTTACCTAATACTTGAACGTCCTCTAGTATATACTTAAGCCCGTTATTTGAGTTCAATTTATTATTTGTGTGAATTATATAAAAGCTTTTCACGAAATTCAGATTTCCCAATAGATTCCAGGTATATAAATATTTCTTGCATGTAATTCGATAAAAAATATTATACCTAGATCTAACATAACTAATAAAACATACTAGAAACATTGTTATATCTTGTTAAGACTTAAGCTAACAAATTAAATATTATAGATATAATACGTACCTAATTACAAAAATAAATCAGCTTAACACAGATATCAACAAATCAATTTTCTAGATTGGTTTCTAGGAGATAACAAAATTAGTGCTAACCTAGTTATTTAAAACCGTCATATTTGTCAGGCCTTCTGGCAGATATTTTCAATATTTATTAATTAATTTGCTATAAAAAGTTTAGAGTGCCTATAAATATGGCATATGTCATTAAAACAGTCGGGTCATACTTCAAAACCATCGAAAAAGTCTAGATTCCATACATGCTAAAATAGTTAATAATAATTTCAAAGTGCCTGGAGGATATTTTTTTGAATTTATTTTTTGCTAATGTCATATAGACTCTCGATTCAAGGTTTACTAACATCGATACAGCCATGGGCACCACCATACGAGGCCAACGAGGGGCGTCTGTCCCCTCCCTGGATTCATAATTTTTTATTTTTTGCCATGGCTTTCGACGTTTTGACCCTGCCTATAAGACTTGCCCCCCTGGAAATTTTTAAACGGCGCCCTTGCTTTTTTTATTCGATACCGCCACTTTTTTTAAACGGCGCCCATGGACACAGCAGTTTTTTTATAATTGCTGCGTTTGAAAAGTACCTCGTTTTGCTTTTTTTACTCGATACCACCCGTTTTGCTTCGTTTGCTCCATTGATATAGTTTGCTCGACGTCACGTGACCAAAAAATCTACTCGCTCTGCTCGATGAGGTACATTTCAAACGTAGCAAATATCAAATTGCCCATAATACCTTTTCTAAATTCAACTATATACATGCTATGCTTTCCATTGTTTCCTATCAAAAAATATACAACTAGTAATGATATAATTTGATAATCAAATGGTAGGTACCTTCTGATATTTTGTTTTCACTATTAATGAAACAACATCAATCATGGTAAGTGTGAATTATTATTATTATTATTCATAAATGATTGCACTTTAGAGTTACGAATGCCACATTATCTAGGTGTTAATCTGAACATATGTCAGCCTGATAATATCGTATTTAATATCACGAGAACAGACACATTTATTAGCAAAAATATATAACATTTGATAACGAACAACAAATTTACACCTTATAATTAGGAACATAATAAATATTTCCATAATTGTCAACAGTGAATGGATTTGTCGAGGTAAATAAATGGGATAACATTTTTTTTATTTGCATTAAAAAAATGATATATAAGAGATAATGAGTAGGTACAAAATCGACTGAAAACAAATAATGAGTAACTTATTTTTGGTGCCATAATAACAAAACTCATTCCTATAACACCAACAGGGCCGACAAGAGGGGAGGCGGGGTAGCCAGGACTAACTCCTGAGACCCGGGCTCAAGTGGGTGAGGACAGTTTTTACTTTTGTAGGAGCACCTTTTTTTTAGAAATGTGATTTTGAAAGGACCTAATTTTTGTATAAAATTGTCGCGGGACCCGACCTAGAAAATTGTCCCGGGGCCCGACCTGGCTCTTGGCAGCCCTGAACACCAGTTATAAAAGGTAAACTGTCTTCGAGATTGCCAACTTATTTGGTTTTCTGTAACTTTTGTTACTTTTGTCTCCGATGCACCCGACCTGCTGTTATTTTTTTATTTATTAGTCTCAGTAGGTTTTCAGTTTACTTACCTACTTCTTTTGTTATATAATCCTTTTCTAAATCAAATTTTCATACTCATTTCATTCTATATAATAGTGGAGACATCTAAAAATGAATTGTAATTATTATACATTCAAAACAACATTATCTTTTCATAAATAAATAAATAAATAATGACTTTTGCATAATAGGATTTTGGGTTACTGTTATTTTTAAGAAGCAACTACCTCGTATTAATAGTTAAAATACTTTGGTTATCAAAAGTTATTTTCACAATGCCTTCAATCAATAAAAAAAAATTGGTCATAGTCTCACTACTCTCACCTATCATTTTATTTTGAGAATCAAATTTTAATGACTATACGGACTATATTTTAAACTACTGAAGAATAGTAAACAGCATTTTTCCCGCCTAACATTCAACATATTTCTAATTGCTGATGAACAATGGCGTATCCACGGGGAGATGTTGGGGATATATCCCCTCCAGGAAGTCCCAGTACGTCCGCAAACTCAAACACATCATCTATATGATAAGTGATCATAAGAAAAAATAAGAGTAAGAGACCTCTAAATTGCTTTATAATAATTACTAAATCAAATACATCATACATGTGTTAGAAGTAACTTAATAAAAAATCTGATGTGTCCAACACATGACTTTCCTATCTAGTTATTACAGGCTTTTTTCGGTTATTTTGTACAACCTATTGTAGCACCTCTGTATATATTTATAGGTTAACTTAATATATACATTTTCCACATACATATACCTCGAAACATTTTTCTATAGATATTCATTGAAAACGAAAATACTGAAAAATTTAAATTTAGCACTTTTCCTACAATTTTTCCATTACGGTCCATGTATAAATAAAAATTATAGAGATCGATATCGCAAACAACTTTTAGTTTAACAATTTTCTTAAAAATCAGAATTTTGCATATTTTGTCAAATTTCTCGAATACGGACCATTTCAGGAAAATTTGACATAATGCAAAAATTATAGATAATAATATTAGAAGTAACTTTTATTTGAACAATTTTCTTCTCCAAACATAAATACCAGATATATTCCATAAAATATAAAAACGACCTCCCATAAAGTACCCCCCCCCCCCAGATGTTCGGACTTTGTCCAAAATCCAATCATTTTATGTTAGGCCGAAATAAAACTTAAGTTTAAAATTTAATGTTTTTTCTATCCGTTTTTGAGTTTTCTTCAAAATTCGATTTTACACATTTTTTCAAATATCTCGAATACGGTCACGCCTTGATTATGTGCGATGCGATGCACAAAATAACGTTAAGTGATTTTAAGCAGGCAAATTGTTTCACGGACCTGTTGAAGTGTTGACCTCTCTTTTTAACTACAGGCTTTTGCGAAAACCTCTTGTTTCATCGCGATTAGCCAGAACATACCAAAAAATAGAGATTAGCACGTATGAAAGCAATAAATTTATATTTTTGTTATTTATTTTAAAATAATGTGTTTTTATGAAATGTAACTGGGTGCTCATTGCACAAATGAACCAACGTAGAAACCGCCACTGATCGTACGTATCCCATGTTCGACAAAAATGTCACGTAGAAAAAAGACGAAAAAAACCATTATGTATATCTGCTAGTTAATTAAAAATCCAAATAAACGGTTTCGTATAACGTTGAAATAAGTAACAATGAGAAGAGCACCGTTATGAAACCAATCACTCGACATTAAATCTAAGACAGGTTCTGGAAGCTGAGACAGAGCATATAGGTGATAAATATACTTTGCCATTTGTTCGGTGGTTTGTTTTTGTTTCTTGTTTTCTCAATTAGATTTGTGCAGAACTACAGCTATAAAAATTATACCTTTCTCAATTCTTCAATTCCTGTTATTTACACCATGCAAGAGTGAGTTGTTATAGGCACACAATGTTATGTCTACATTTCAATGCAGTGATTGTCGAAACAAATCCAAAGGTGAATACGACAGCCATCAAAAAACACTAAAACGTTAAAAAGGCACAGTATCTGGTTACTCTTTTATCGGTTTTTGATGGTTTCGTTGTTAATAAACAGATACGCTCTTTATTTCAGTGTAAGGTGCACCGTAACAAAGAAAAAATAATAAGTATACTAAATTGAATTTTCAAACGGTGTTTACAATTTTCAAATAACTTGGTGAAATAAGAAGGTTAAATCTCACGATACTATTTTGGGGCTTAGTAAAATTACTGAATTATCTTTAGAAAGACAAAATTGTTTTGGGGCTTAAGCAACTGTATATTGTAATCAAAAAAGGTGTTTGTAAACGGAAAAAATTCACAAATAGCTTATTTTTAAAATTTTGGTAATCATCATATATATAATATTTTTTTGTAATATTTAAATAGGAAATATAATTGTTATGTCACGTGATGCTGATTTATATTCTCCTAATTTGTTTAACTTTTGTTTCCTTTTCTTCGTTTCTTCAAAATCCTTTTCTATTATTTATATTTTCTTCATTATTCCCTCTTTATCTCTTTTTTCAATTTTTGAATATCTTCTATATTACCCATCTTCTAGTCTGTTCTCTTCATTACTTCT